GAGAGAGAGAGAGAGAGAGAGAGAGAGAGAGAGAGAGAGAGAGAGAGAGAGAGAGCACATGAGGGAGAGAGAATAAGGATGAAAAATAATTGAATCCTAATATAAAAGGATACTCATTTAATTCCTAAAGTGTATATAATTGGTAAATTTTTATATAGGATGTAATTAAATTGAAACTTGAGTAGAGAGGGTAATAAAGTTTCAAATAGTGTATAGGAATGTAAAAATTTCTATATTTTGTGTGGTTATAAATCATTGCATAATTATTTTTTGGCACAATATTTTGTGTGGTTATAAATTATTGCATAAATCTTTTTTGGCACAGACTAAAAAGAAAATAGGGTCACGTAAATTAAAACGGAGGGAGTATTTATTATTTTCCCTTTGCCACTAAAAAGTTAAAATAAAATAAAATTATATCAACATTTGTCCTGGAATCAAACTTCCAAAAGTCATTGACAAATTATTTTAGTTTTCTGTGGTCTTTGTTGATGCAATTGATGATTAAATTGCATAAAAATAGCACGGGCTAGTCAGTTTTCGGGCTGGTAATTCAAAAATAGCCAGCGTTTGTAAAGTCATTAAAAAATAGTCACTATTTTGCTGCAACACGAACCGGTCCAGCATAATATACTGGAGATTGGAGCACCTGTGTATAAACTTCCAGCATATTATGCTGGACCGGTATATTATACTGGAACTCCAGTATATTATGCTGGAATATTTTTCGCATTTTGAACAGTATTTTCGTTCAGATTTATCTCTACATGAAAAGTGACTAAATTTCGATTACTTTTGAATCTGTGACTATTTTTTAATTATCACTTGTAAATCTGGATATTTTTGAATTTCTCCCTTTAAGTTATTAGATATGTGGTCCAAGCATTATGAGTGTATGAGTTCATATAATATAACCGTAATTATCACTTGTAAATTAATATGTTGGTGCATATACAGGTATAGTAATAAGAGGCATACCAATTAATCCCATTAGCCTTTTTCTTGCATTTGGAATGAGAAAAAGAACAATTCAACACGTGATAAAAAGCAAGGACACTTAAATCAGAATATCATAAAGATGTTTTAACATAGAATAGAATCATACATGAAGAAGAGTTCATTAAAATTCGAAATTTATATAATTATATACAGAAATCGGTATAATTCGATTTTACATATGGCAAGTTTAATCGTGCTATTGCGTCATTATGGCAAGTGGAACAGTGAGAATAACTACGTTGATTATTCGATTGAAGGGATACTGATAAGGGAGTATGCGTCGTACAATGATTTGGTTGCTTCAATTTCGAAGCAACTCGCCATAGATTTGAGCTCAAAGTCAATTAAAATTGAATATAAAATGGAAGGAAATTGCACGCCAATGAAAATACACAACGACATGGGTTACAAGGTGTATGTAGAGTTGAAAAAAGAGAACAGAGAATTCGGGATGTATCCTTTGTGTATTACAACAATAGACAAAGAAGTTGTAGCTAGAGGTAGTTTAATTCAAGGCGACCAAGTGCAAATAGACGAAGCAAATCAAAGGTGTAAATTTGATACAAATGATACACTTGCTCTTGAGTCTATCAATTCAGGCGAACCAATTGAGGTGTTCAAACTGGAAAGCGATTTGATTATTTCAAAAACTAATCAAAAAGAGGTTATGGCTGGACAAGTATATAAGGATAAGGCTACCATAAAAGAGGTGATGGAGCATTATGCAATAGCTGGAAGGTTTCAATTCCGGGTTGATAGGTCTAATGCTATAAGGTTTGAGTGTTCTTAATTACAACTTGTTGAACAACATGTTATATTGAATTGTATGGTTATGTATTCTGAATTTTTTGTATAATGTATTCATGGAAGAATTTTTCAAAATACATCATGTATAATACATGTATTTCATAATATATTATTTCCTTCGTTCTATATCTCTTTTATTAGTGTTTATGTAATTGAGTTTTCTGAAACAATTATAGGATATATACATATTTAACATTGTATTCACATGTATATATGTGTATTTTATAATAATATGTGTATATGTAACATTGTATTCACATGTATATGAATGTATTCTGTAATCATGTATACTGATCGTATGTATTACATAAATATATTTGCAGCTATACATTATTATGTATGTCAGAGGATTGTGAATGAAGATTTAAGGCTTCTAGCATTAACAAATCACAAAAGTTCAAAGTGAGAGAGTTCAATGATAAGCATACATGTCCATTGAAGGATAATGTGTATGAGCAACGTCAAGCAAGTAGTAGCCTTATCAGTGGTATGATTAGGTCCAAGCTTCCTAATCATAAGAGAAAATACACCCAAAGGATATAATTGATGATGTGAAATCAGATTTTGGTGTAGATGTTAGTTACATGTTGGCGTGGCGGGCTAAAGAAAAGGCAATGAAGTTTTTGAGAGGTGAACCGGCTGATTCATACAATAAATTACCAGGGTACTTATATATAATGGATATGACATATCCTGGTTCGCATATTAGAATGCTAAAATCATCAATGTATGTGTATATATCTTTGTATGCTTTTATAAAGGGGTTCAATCATTGTATACCCATTGTGGTTGTGAATGGCAGCCACCTAAACTCGGTATACACAGGGACATTCGTCTCGGCCAACACGTTGGATGTTGCAGGTGAGTATGTTAAAAACAATATATATATATGGATTATAATAAAATTTGATAAGTTTACTGCCTAATAAAGATTGAATGAAATTTTGTTAATATGTATGCAATTATATTTACAGGTCATATAATGCCACTAGCACATGGTGTTGTTGATTCAGAGAACGATGCTGCTTGGTCGTGGTTCTTTGAGCAATTCAAGGAAGCATATGGTGAGAGGAAAAACATGTGCATCATTTCAGATAGGAATGAGAGCATCATCAAATCTGTATCGAGAGTGTATCCAACAGTACCACATTTTGCTGGTATATAACATCTATGGAACAACGTATATAAGAAATTCAAAAAGAGTCATTTAAAGTTGAGCGAGATATACTTCTCGATGAAAAAGACAAATACTCATGATGAATTTGATAGTCTAATGGAGAAGGTGGAGAAGATAGATATTCGGGTGAAAGAATACTTGGAATTAGCTGGATACGAAAAGTGGGCTAGGTTGTATGTACCTGTTAACCGGGGATGGACCATGACGTCAAATATTGCTGAATCAATCAATGCCGCACTTGTATCAGCAAGAGAATTGCCAATATAAGACTTCCTCGAAGAAGTTAGGAAGATGTTTGGACGTTGGAATTGCAGCAATCGGAAATAAGCTTCACACACGTACACACCGCTTGGACAAAATACCAGGAGATGCTTACTCTAAATGAGGCAATGTCTACACGTATGACTGTAAGTTTTTTTTTGCTTTAAGTCCTTGTATCATGTATTTAGCTCTGGTATAACATGTATTTATTTCTGATACAATTTTTACTATTCACATACAACATGCTCATTATATTATAGTAGTTGTGCATGTTTTCTGTTTTATGAAATGTTTTAAAAATTGATCATTATATGTATACATTACATGTTTATATATTTGCATTTCATTGGTTGAATTCAGTGGTTTTGTTTCTAATCAGATGCATTTCCTAAGCATATAGACTATATGTTAATGTATATCACTGTATTCATCAGTTAGATGTGATCATCTTTAATAGTCTACCAACCTAAATATAGACTGTATTCCACTGTATTCAATAAATGTTATTGTATATCACTGTATGTCATTGTATTTTATACATACATATATGTTTGTATTTCATACAAATATATATTATATTTAGATTTCTGAAAGTTAAATAAAAGTTTACTGTTGGATATTTATTTTTAATTGTATACATCTATATTGTATTTAATACGTCTATTCTTTGAGATATATATGACTTTTTAAAAATGTTCAAAACTTATAGTTCTATATTTAAATGTAGGTTGTACCATCAACTGAATATTTGCATATGGTGAACGATGAAGGAAGACATTACACCGTTTGCCTCCTAGAGAAAAAGTGCAGTTGTAGGCGGTTTCAAGTTGGCGAATTACCATGCCCACACGCTTGGGCTGTCTTGAAGAGCAAGTTTCTAATGTCAGAAGATTATTGCTTGGACTATTACAAACCAAAGTCTGTTGTAATGACATACGAGGTGCCTGTGTATCCGCTGCCTGACCGAAATGAATGGAATATACCGGCACATATATCAGAGAAAGTTGTCTTACTACCCAAATGGAAAAGACCTCCTGGAAGGCCAAAGAAGAAGCGCGATAAGCCGTTCAGTAAATTTTTGCAGAAGAAAAATCAACATTCGTGTAGCATATGCGGGTAGGGAGAACATAATAAGCGTACTTGTAGAAATGCTCCACGTAGGAATTAGTTCATGTTCTGATTTGTATTACTGCAATAACGATGTGTCATAGATTCCTGTGACAATTTAAATAATACATATTAATTTATTGGTGTATTGGATTATTGCGTGATGAATGTTTTTAGTACAGTTAGTAAAAATATTATTTAGTAAACTGCTGAATACATACTGCATTTATATTTTAAATAAATATGATTACATACATGTGCAATTATATCTGAATACATATATACAATCTGCTGAATACATATGAATACAAACTGCATTATATGTACACTACAATCTGCTAAATACATACATAATGCTTAATTTATAGTGGAATATATATGAATACATTATGTAGATAAATTTTAATACATATGAATACAAACTGCAGTACATATACAGTACAATCTGCTGAATACATAATGCTTAATATACAATGGAATATATATGAATACATACTGCAGATATATCTGAATATATATATACAATATGCTGAATACATATGAATACAAACTGCAGTTATATATACACTACAATCTGCTGAATACATATGAAAACATAATGCTTAATATATAATGTAATACATATGAATACATACTGTAGAATATATTTCATATTTTTTAAGTCTGGTCAAAATGAAGTGAAGGCTGGAGAAATGCAAGAAGGAAATAGGGACTTTGCTGGAGAACTATCAGTGACTCTTGTTGATGCAAGGAAACTCTCTTATATCATCTATGGTATGAATTTGTTCATCTATCAATAGTGGCATCAATCTTTCCTAGTTCTGATTTTTGCTTCTTTGTAACACTAAAAATTTGTCAGTTCATTTCTTCATATTCTTTTAATAGTAAAAAATTATTGTGTACATATTCTAATCTGGTGAAAGAAAAAAGAAAGAAGGTATTTGTTTGAAAATCAGTCGAAGATCAATGTGACTTCCATTGCATGAACAACTACTTTGAATACTATATACATCTGATGACTATATTCCATAGTTTACTAAAGGATTATTTTTAGTAAACTGCTGAATACATACTGCATATATACTTTGAATACATATGAATACATACTGCATATATCATATTGTATACATATATACATATGCTGAATACATATGAATACAAACTGCTGAATATATACTGCTGCACAAAACAGTGAAACAAAGTGAAGCTTTGAAATTATAAGATGCTGAATTAACACTTTGAATACAATGCATAAAGTGAATACATGAGTTGTTCTTAACAGAAGACCATTTTTACCAAAACAATATTCAAAAAACTATCTTCACACAGAAAACTATCTTCAAAAACTATATTCACCGAAAACTATTCTAAAACTATCTTCACAGAAGTATCCGAATCTGTCATTCGTCTAACAATCTTTGTGGGTGCTTCATTGTCGCTTATGGCATCGGCGTCTATCTTTCGCATAGCATAGTCTCAAAGAAGGGCACCATATCTTTGAAGGAGTAAATTGGCGTCAAATATTGTTTGTGGAACCAATCCATAAGTGCTCAAATACTCTGTGTATGTCACGACATGCAACCCACAATCCCTAAAAATGTAGATTGACACAATTAAATAAAACTCATATAATTAGTATTATAAATGATACTAGAATACAAAAAGGAATGAATTCATACATGCTCCCAGCCGTTTGTTGAGGCACATTCGAAATAAAAACAATAGCAAAGGGATCAGTTTGTGCTTTGTCATTGTATGCTGGTTCACAAGACCAATCTATTCCTTGCTTATCTCTGTAGAAACCACTGATCGATAGGTATAGAGGTACAAGCTTAGCAAGCTTATCTATCTCAGTACACACATAAGCATCATGGCCTGCTGATCGGTAGGAGTCATATACATTGATACATCTTTCCTCAAATGAGACAACTGCCAATAGCCAATGAAGTTTGTCCTTCAAGTTGACTGGTATCAAGACATTATCAACCATATGTCATGGTACATTAGCTAGCAATCTATAGCCCCTTATGTATTCACATATGATAAGTAGGGATTTTGACCGCTTATTTGCTCTCTTTTACTTGCGTTTTAGCTTAAAATGCTTAAAGGTATTCTCGAAAACTAATGAAATGTGCTTTTGTACAGGAACATTGGAAAATGAACCAAAGGAATCAAAATCAACTCATAAAGGAGTCAAAAGTGGACAAGGACCAAAACAAGGCAAAAGGCCCATAGTGCGGACCGCACAATACTGTGTGCGGCCACAAAACAAAGGAAGAGCCATGTCAGTTATTTTTCAGAGTATGCGGACCGCACAAATATTGTGCGGCCGCAGAAAAGGAGATTCAGAGAGCTAGTTTTTGGCAAGCTAAAGTATTGGGACCGCACCATAATTGTACGACCACAGAATGTTAAGTGCGTCCGCACTCAATATTATGCGGTCCGCAGAAGACAAAGATCAGAGAGATGGGATTTCAAGTTCAAGAAGAAATGTGGACCGCACCATTTTTGTGCGGCCGCATAATCAAGAGCGCGACCGTACTCATTTTTATGCGGTCCGCAGAAGACTCACACAGTCAGAGCCAAGCAAGAGTGCGACCGCACTCACAAATATGCGGTCTGCAGTAGTTGAAGGAGTGCGACCGCAATCCAGAATTGTGCGGCCGCAGAACTGGAACTTGTCAAGCCAAGTCTCGTTGTGTGGACCACACACATAATTATGCGGCCGCACAACCTCCGCAGGGGCAGTTTTATCAGATATTTTCAGCTTAGTATAAATAGAACTTTTTGTCATTTTTAGGGTAAGTTTTGTTTTGGGAGAGCACCTGAGCCGTTTTCCATTACTGTTTTGAGTAATATTGTACTAGATTAGCTTCTAAATATTAGATTTTCTTTCCCTAATCAATTATTATGCATTCTATCTTAATTTCTTCTTGTATTTTTTCATTTTTCATGAGAAGCTAAATTTCTAGCTAGGGTTGTGGCCCAACCCTAGTGTGGGTAATTAATAGGTGTTTGATTTAGGACTTGTTTGTGATTGGGTTAGTGATATTTAGCCTAGTTCTTGCTTGAATTCAAGAATTAATAGTTGCAAATACTGATTCATGCCTAATTGACTTAGTCTCTACTTGAGAAAGAGAGACTGAGTCTAGAAAAACTTGGCTAACAAGAAATTGGAGTGAACTCAAGAAATTGATATCCCAAATTAAAGGGTTGAATCTAGAGATAGTAAGACCCCACTTGAGCAGTTATCACTTATTTTGTGCAATACCCATTTGGACTTGAGAAAGTCAAATTGGGCAAAACCACTAAAACTACCGAGAGGTATAGATTGGGTAATTGCGTGTGATTGCTATATTACAACCCCGACCAATCAGGCTTGTCCTAGAATTTTCAACCCATTAGGTAACCACCTAGGTGGAAGTCACGACCCTAGGTCTTTTATCATTTGGAAAACAACCAAAACCAAAAATATTGTCTTCTAGATTTATAATTGCAATCAATAGTTTAAAGTAGAAGTAGAAACAACAAACAAGAATGTGGAAGTGTAATCTAAGGCATATTGTACAATTACACTAAATATATACCTAATCCCAATTCTAACTCCTTGAAGATTCGACCCCGACTTGCGTTGGGTTTTATTATTGCTTCGACCGCCTCACTGCCTATATTTGTGGTGTGAGTTTGGGCGACATCATTGTTTTGGCACTGTTACCGGGGAGTTAAACGGATTTAGCTATATATCTAAATTTTTGTGTGATTTGTCTTCTTTTCTTTCCGAGTCACTAATTTTGTTTTTAAATTGCTTATAGGTACGATAATGGGTCTCAACAACAAGCCCATTGGTAATTTGCCATTGGGGGAGGAAGTAGACGATGATCAAGGAGATGAGGTTCTTCCCGAACCTCAAGCAAATAGGAGAGAGCGATCGCCTATTTGCTTGATAATGTTCCCGTCCCTCCCCCACCTCCACCAAGAGTGGCAGCGCCCCGGATGTTGCCGAACGAGGGTTATGCAAGTGCTATAGTCCCGCCCCGCATTAGGGCGGGCAACTTACAAATCACCAACGTGATGCTTACACTACTTGAGCAACGGGGATTCTTCACCGGGGCTCCAAATCAAAATGCTTACAAGCATCTCAAGGGGTTCGTCGATACTTGTTGGGGGAGAAAGCAAACCAATGTTTCCGAGGATGCGCTGAGGTTGAGGTTATTTCCTTGCTCTTTAAGGGGAAAAGCATTGGACTGGCTATAGAGATTGCCCAATCATTCCATCCATATATGGGATGAGTTGGCCGAAAAATTCATTGCCTAATTCTTCTCTCCAGGGCACATGGCTGCACTACGGGATGAAATTCTAGCGTTCAAGCAAGAGCCCATTGAGTCATTGCATGAGATTTGGGAAAGATATCGTACCATGGTTAAGAAGTGCCCAAATACTGATATGACCAAGGCCATGATCAAACAAACCCTCTACAAGAGGATCAACACAACAAATCAATGTGTGGTAAATCAACTCGCCGGCGGGAACTTCATGAACACACCTTATGCCGAAGCTTGTGAAATTTTGGATGAGATGGCGGATACCTCATCGGCATGGCAAAGTAGGGCCAATGTTCTGCAAGGTGACCCCGATGTCATTCACCTATACAAGGAACTATATGATCATGGGCAAGCTATCGCAGAGTTAACAACCACAATGAACTAATTGGCCAAAGCTCAGCTGCAACAAATTCAAGGGCTAAAACAAGTGAATGCGATGGAAGATGTAAATATGATGATGAACAAGAGAAGGCAAAAAGGTCAACAAGGGCAAAGCCATCCGGAACAATTCATGCAAGATGATAGTGGGTATGACCAAGGTGATTCGTATAATGAGCTAGAAAAATAAGTGCAATACGTCAACAATTATCAAGGTCAAAGAAACAATGCTCAAAATCAACAACAATGGAGATCACAAGGAAATCAAGGAAATTGGAACAACCAAGGCCACCAAGGCAATTGGAGTGGTGGC